ATATTGAAGGGCCCATAAAACCTGAAACTGAGCTTCTGATTTGACCTTTGTAACGACTGAATGTAAGGCTTCAGATATACCAGGGATGGATAGTCTCAGACTGCTACAACTGACACACAGGTTCAGTGCACATGAGTCACCAATAGGGTTACACAGGCTGCCCCGGCAATACACTAGTAATACTAATACTCCAATACCAAGTAATGCACTGTAAACACAGATTTCATGGTGGATATGGTCATAGATATTGGGGAATTTTCTACAAAATTAATCAAAGTTAAAAAGAAAAATGACCTAAAACAAAACTAAAACGAACTACAATCTGGAACAAGAGTACCAGATACCTTGTACTCCTACCTTTCCAAATTATAAGGTGCTTTTACTACGTAGACATTGTACATATCTAAATGCATAGAAAAAACTATGAATTTAAAAAAAAACAAAAAGTTTTATAATTTGAAACGGAGGGAATACCCTTCAAATGAATTGGCTTAAAAACTAAGGCATCAAAGCCATGCAATACCATAAACGTATGGTAAAGATATGCCAGCGCCTCTTTGTTACAGTTTGGAGTTCGTCAAAGCAAATGGAAGAACCGCACAATATGCCGGCACAGCTGCAGTCTAAACCCAACTGCAGTCCGCAGACCTCAGCAGCTCATCCTTCTTAAACTCTGACCTGCTCTCTCAGGCACGCCATCCTGACAAGGCTTGTCCAGAGAACCCGATCCTTGCTTGCCTCGGATCAGATACACTGGAGTTGTAGGAGAGCAAGCGTTGGGAAGTTTTGAGAGTAAAACTGCCGCGCCTCCTCTGATGCATCTGCAGTCGCTGGAGCACGTGCCCAACTGGTCCTGCTCACCATGTGTATCCTGAAACAACACAGGCTTATGTGTGCATGCATATGCTCACATAAATTTCTTCCATCAAAATCCTGTAAAATGGATTAGGCCAAGCACGGTAAACCTTACCTAGAGATCAAACACTAGAAATTGTGAAGCAGCCATGAAAGTACACAATTCTCTATCTTCCATGTTGGTGAGTCTTGAAAACATCAAAATAAAAAATACTTCAAGTAAAATGGTACCTTCATCGGCTTACTTTTTCCACTTTGCCCGAGTTCAACATGAAAAGAATACAACACAGAAGACACACATCTCCGGGCACCATATGGGGCAACTAAACCATGGATCTATAATTCTAACAAAGGTAAACAGGGTTCACTAAGCAAAGCAACAGCACATTTCAGTGCTCGCTCAGTACCAATATGACTGCCATTCTCTGATCACCGCAAATTGTTATATACTAGCCAGAACCCCCGCGCGATACTATGAGTAATAGGAGTATGTGGATTCATTCAGCTATATTGAAGTCAAAGTAATCACAGTTCACATTCCTGGCTTTGACATGAGTACAGGGCAAGCAGGGAAATACAATATTTAGTTAACAGGAGGCAAGCATACAAATTGTTGAATGGAAATTTGGAAGACTTTCATCTTGAATGTGCCGATGATGATCAAATCGTTGATGTAGACACTTAACACCAGTTGAGTGGAGGCTTTGTCCCGAATGTACACGCCGTGCTCGAAGCTATTTGCATTGGTTTGGGGGCAAGTAAGTAGAACCGGGCCAAGGCATTTAGCTATGAAGGAATTATAGGTTTGTGAGAATAATATATTATGAAGTTGGGCAGCAAACCAAGTATTAACAAACTACATAACAGCAGGAAACATATACCTATAGTATGTCCAAAGCAAAGATTATGAAACATATACCTATAGTATCTCGAAAGCAAAGATTATGAAACTGGGCACCAAACCAAGTAGCAACAAACTACATAGCAGCAGGCAAATGCAGCTGTTTAGATAACATGAGGCAAATACAGGAGTGGAAAAGAAGGTACTGAGTAGCCTGGTCGTACTGGTTGACCAATTCTGATGAGGACATCGCCACGCTGGACACACCGACGCCATGGTCTTCCCCAAGTTGCAATTCGTTCCCAACTCAGCTGCCACGTCGCCCTCGGATTCAGCAGACACGTCGTCACTGTTTCGGTCATAACTTTCTCATACCACATCGAAACGGGCCGTTCTTGGATGCGTTGGAAAGGGGACGACGACGCCGTCGTTTTGGATCTGGTCCCAGCTCCAGAAGGTCCGTGGATCATTCTGTGTGACCACGGCAAGGTGCTGCGTCACCTATTTGGGCCAACTTGACCATGTATCTTGTCGGGCCTTAAGCCCAAGTTGTGGGCGCCCAACCCCTGGCCGTCCCCAACCCTAAGTCGAGTCTTAGACTATAAACACAGCCGCCGCTGCTGCTACACAATTGGGTTTTGTTTAGAGTTTAGTTTTCCATCGAGAAACTGAATCGTTCATTGTAACTGTGGTGACAAATCCTTTTACAGTGATCCAGGGCCCCCGTTCTTGATCTCCTCCACCGTGTCGATTAGTCCTTTGGAACCGAGTTCTTGAATCCTCTATTGATATTCGCGTCATTCATATTTGCAATTTCAGATTGCGTGTTTTACCTTCTTGCTTGTGCTCTTCGATTCGCTTGCAGGAAAAGCTTTCTTGGCGAGGTCAATCAAGTTGTGCTTGGTTGATAACCAACGGAGCAGTGGTGTAACGGTTGCAGGGTTCGAATCGCGTCTGATTTGAAGCCGGATCGCCAACGTCGAGATCTCCACAAATCGAACTTACCGGCTACCTCTCGGAAGATCGGGCCTGTACTCACCAAATTCCCTGGAGGCCTGGGTGCGATCAGTTGGGTCCTTGTGTTGGCTGAAGAAGAAAAAGAACCTACTAATTACAAAACTAAATGGGAGTTAGAACTAAAACTGTATGTAGCATAATATTATGTAAATCAATAGACATCTGTTGGTAGCATAACCTGACAAACACGGCACTCCAAAACTAATTATTAGCACGGAAAAAGAGTGAAATCTATACATTCCGAAATAAAGGAGCACATGACATAAATGGAAAAGGATACCCAACATTCAAAGCTGCTGGCTACAGGTAAAATTCCAAATCATTTATGTGAAGCAACCTTTTATTTAAAGGAATCAAGGGATAATCAAGGGGAATAATTTTATATGGACAACCTAAAAGAGTTCGGAACGATGATATACGTGATAGATTAGGGGTAGCACCAATTGAAGAAAAGCTTGTCCAACACCGGTTGAGATGGTTTGGACATGTCCAACGGAGACCTCCAGAGGCACCGGTGCGTAGTGGAATCCTAAGCCAGGATAGTAACGTGAAGAGAGGCAGAGGAAGACTGAAGTTGACTTGGGTAGAGGCAATAAAAGGAGACTTGAAAGGATGGAATATACCCAAAGACTTAGCCTTAGATAGGAGTGCTTGGAAAACAGCTATTCACGTGCCTGAACCTTGATTGCTTCTGCTGGGTTTCAACTCTAGCCTACCCCAACTTGTTTGGGACTTAAAGGCTTTGTTGTTGTTGTTGTTGTTGTTGTTGTTGTGGACAACCTAAAAGAGGCAGTAGCAAAATACAGTAGCTGGTCTTCGAGAAGTTAGCAGCAGTATATGCTTATCAGGTAGTAGTAGGTGCAGGTGAATGCACCTTTTCATATAATAGGAGGCAGAGCAAATAAATCTTAAACAGAAAATTAGAAGTAAAAACTAAATCTATAGCATGTCCAATTTCGGAAAACCTACTTTGCAGACACAACAATCTCTTGGATAATAAAGATAAAGAGCTGAGAGGAAGTTCAGAATTAATTAGCATCACTGCATCAGTAACCTCTGCTCTTTTATTTTAGGACATGAAGCACATATTCGGATGCAATCATTTGGTAAACTAAGATGGGTCCACTGCAATGTGGTTGCAGGCAATATATATAGAAACAAAAGCATGAAACATTGCTAATTAAAGAAATTTTCTCAAATATTTGTTCCACTAATCTTGGCCCAAGCTGCAGTACATGGACAGCAATCCGCAACAGATAGATGGGAAGCAGGATCAGGCATGAATGCAAGAACAATTGGCAGGCAAAGGAAGAGGATGGCAAACCCACCAGGTGTTAGGTACATGCTACAACCAAATGAGCTGGTGAACCTGGCACCCAAAAATCAATAGACATCTGTTGCTAGCATAATCTGACAATCAGATGACCATATGCTGCCATTTCTTGTATGGAAGCCTGCAAATAAACTGCAGGTTTAATTATAAGGAATTAATGATTTCATATGGCCACTTTGTAAGCGAAGGGGGTCTTCAAATAGTACGCTACCTGAATATGAGGACCCGATGAAATAGATAGACATCTAGGCTCATTCATGAGTTCCCAAGCAAATATAGCGGGTTCATCACAATATTTCATTCCACTGTAAGAGTTTCTTCTGGTTAATATTGGCTGTCAATAACAATAATGTAGGTTTGATATGGAATAATGAGGTTTCTTCTTAAATAGGTATGAAGCGAAAAAGTGTTTTTTTAGGTGGATAGCATAAAATAACAATCTTCTTAAATACATCGTAGGGTCCAGTAAAACTTAGTTCAGAAAATTTATCCAGACTGCAATCAAAGCAAAATGTGAACATAATTTTAACCTGTACCGAACCTGGTTGCAGGACCCTATGTGTTTGTCGCATGGCTTTAGATTTGTGAACCACATTCCGCAATCCGTAGCCATTAGAGAGTTTCGGAAGCACTAACATGGTGATTCCTCAACCAAACAATCAATATTCAATAGATAGGGGCTGCCTGTAAGGCACCACATAATTCAGTAAATTCCTGAAATTTCAATGTCTTTGAGCTGGAAGGTTGTCCACTCTCCAAAAGGGTAAACAAACAACGGGGCATGTAATAGTGTGTAAGAAATATGGAGATCTAATCATTTCATATGAAATAATGAAGTAGGGAGATGACCTGTCGAACACTTCTTTGTTCCAATATGACTGGAGAGAAGGAAAGTTGTTGTACATATATATATAAAAGAGAATGATCCCAGATCTTAGAAGTGGCTGTGATCTTTCATGTCTGAAAGTAGAGGAACATCAGATCATTTGCAATGAGCAAAATAAAATTGGCACAAACAGAACTAAATGGCAAGAATGTATGAGCGGTAAGGGAAGCGTTAAAAAAAGATCTGACCAGAACAACAGATCGTCTCGAATTCGTAGCCGGCGACTGAATCAGTATGAAATAGCACTTCATAAGTGCATGGCAAGGTCCAAAGAAGTCAGTCTCATGAAATAGCTCTTCATCACTGCACGGCAATAGGCAAAAGAATTTAGTCTCTATTAATTAGCGTCAATTAATGTGGATTGTGAAATAAACTGAAGGAGGTAGCTGTGCCAACGTTGAGGACCAAATCCTAACCCTAGATGACCACAAAATGCTATGACACAAAATCCTAACCCTAAATGAGGTAGGAGGTAAGGCCAAAAATCTGGTAAAAAATAAAACAACAATCAAGCAATGGATACATCATGAATCGATTGGTTACCTGGTCATGAAGCCTTCGGTTCGGATGCTGTGGAGGAAGAGGCGTTCAGGAGAAGCGGAGCGGCGACGCTGTAAAGGGCGACATCGGCGATGGGGGCGGCGCGGTAGAGGGGTGACGCCGGCCATGGGGGCGAGCGAGATGGCCGGAGGTGGCTCCGCGCTGTTGCCGGGGTACGTCGCGGCGGAGCTGCGGGGCGGGGCGGCCGCGCCGCGCGGCGGGCGGAGTGCGCAGGTGGGGGCGGCGCTCCGGCAGGGCGACGTCGCAGCGGTGGAGTTCGTCGCTGCCGTCAGGGTGCAGGCGCAGTGGAGTTCTGTAGTTCCTCGTTGCCATCGCCGCTTCACATTTTTTGTTTTTCTTTATTTATAGGCACCGTTGTGACGCGTTCGAGGCAGACGATCGGCTGCGTTCGGCTGACATGAAACGCTTCTTTTTTTCATCCGGAACAGGTTTTCGTCTGTTCATCCATAAACAGTAACTTGTTTTTTCATGAGCTATTGGGCTGTGGGTCCCGTGAGGTTTGGACGCTGGGCAGTGTGCGCGAGTGGGGCCGCTGGAGGAGGGTGTGGTGGCCATCTGCTGGGGACAGGATCGGACGGCCAACACGTATTAACTGTGGATGAATAGCGTTCTGGGTGGAGGAAACGACGGGGGACTGTTGATCTACAGGAGCAGTCACCACGTTTAAAGACTTTTATGAAACAATAACAATAATAATAATAATAATAATAATAATAATAATAATAATAATAATAATAATAATAATAATAATATATAGATGCTATATATATAGGCCAAACAAGGCATGCAGGAATATATTATGTACCTTTCCTCAAATACTACAACTCGACCCAAGGGGAGAGACATGCCAAAGACATTGCTTGAAAGTAGAGAAAAGGCACCCAGAAACAGGTTCTTACCTGCACAGGGACACCTTTACTGAAAGACTGACCAAAGTGAGTCGACCTAATGGCTGTATTTAATGTGAAAAATAGCTAACAGGGCTATATAATACAGAACTAGCTCATAAAGAAAACGAAATAGCATCTAAGTGCCTTCTTGATGAACCACCATAACAAGACCTCACAAACATTGGGATTTTCTACAGAAGTTTTGCAGGCAACGAAGAATGGATGAATGGTGGAGCATTTGCTTCACATTAGTTTCAAATTCCACTATTCCAGTGCAACTAGTTTGTAACTGACGAAACTAGAACATCACATCGAATATTGCAATAACCCAGAAGAGAAAGAGAGATTACAGCATAAAGTTATTGATGCCAAATTACCACAGTTCACTGTAAGTCTGTGACTTATTTGATCTATTGAAACCTAGTTATCCCTCAGTTGAAGCTAATTACTGACAAGTATAAAGGTGCATCATGAAAACCTAAGATTAAGTGGGATCAGGGGCGGAGCTACAGCAAATTCAGGGGGGGTTGCTTGTCTTGTGGGTACATAACTTTTGACTACGAGGGTGCATATATGCAGCCTGTTCGCTTGTTGGTTTCAGCCAGGGCTTATCAGCCATGGTACAGTGTTTTTCTCTCACAACAAACCAGCACCAGCCGGGCTTATCAGCCCAGAAACCAACCAGCGAACAGGCTGATGGTGAAAATTTTATCATAATCACTATTTTTTTATTTTGCCGTGGGTGCACAAGCATCACAGCTTTATACGTAGTAGCTCCGCCCCTGAGTGAGATAAATAATTAAATCTTAGTTATCCTGAAGAGTATAGTGCACATTACTACGGCACTAACTAACCCTACTTGAACAGGAAGGATATAGTGCACAGTGCTGTAGTACTAAGCGTTGTTAGAACCGTTAGCGGTCTAGCATGGTTGCTGCACTCTTTGTATTCAACCGTGCATAATGCACTCAGCATGCAACATAGTGATAAGCTTAGAGATTCAAAATAACACAAATCTTAGAATTAGTGATGGAGTGCATTTAATTATATAAGAGGGAGTAGCACAGTTACAGTCCAATAAGTTCTTGAAGTTACCATGGCAAGGACAAATTTTGTTGCCAAAATGAAAAATTGACAATTCCGTAGTATTTCACAATCTTCGTGTCAGAATCACCATATTAGTTATTCCCCAAGAAAAAGTATACAGTACAGCCAGTTCAGTTTGCCATTCGGCAAAAAACAGTGTGGTTCTAAGATATCCCTATTTTACAATCTAAAGTTGAGCAATTCAAGGGTGGTGAATTCTGGCAAGCGACCAAAATGTTGAAGCAATCAAAGAACCTTCCTAGCTCACAACAATTTCTAGTTACCCGTGTATCATAACTGACCAAAAAGAACAGGGGGTGGGGACAAACCTGATCAAGAACCCCCACCCACTCAAATCCTTTGTTGGGACTCAATCACCAGTGCATTGAGCATGATATGCATGACAGCGTCATACACATCACCATCATAATGCATACCATCAGCCGTGCATTGCTGCCCGCACCCCTGGGTGAGCTTCCCCACATCAAGCAGCAGGAACGGGCCGCCATCACCTCGCAAAACACCCCTCCGATCGACCTCACGATCATAGGCATGCAGCATGGTACCGTTCATGTGTGCCCTCTTGGCGTCTGTGTTGAGCATGTGGTTCACGAGGTGCGGCAAGCCGAGCCAGAACATATGTGGCGGCGGCACGGGAAGCTGCGAGCGGAGCGACTTGGCGGCGCCCGCGACGGACGCCAATGAGTCTCCGTAGCTCGCGGCGTCCGTGACGTGGAGCATGTGCCACAGCCCGGATCCGAGGACGAGCACGTCAGGGAGGCGCGGCGCGAGGCGCAGATCCTCGCGGAGCAGACGCGTGAGGTTGCTCTCGAAGGGCGCCCAGACGAAGTCCACGGAAATGCCCCGCGCGGGGACGGCAGCGCGGTAGTCGCTGTGGCGGCGGAAGAGCTCCGGCTCGGCGGCCGCCGCCGCGGCCGGGTCGAGCAGGAGGCGGAGAAGCGCGAGCACGAGCAGCCGCGCCTGCGAGTCCCCGGCCACCATCACCCACGAGCCGTTGAGCAGCAGCGACGCGTCGTCGCGCGACAGCCGCGCGAACCCGCAGGCGGACGCCAGCGAGGGCGGCCACGACCACGCCCGCGCTTTTCTGCCTCTCGAGCCGTCGTCACCGGCGCCGGCGGCGTCAGACCACGAGACGCGGTGCAGGAACGGGACGCAGGAAGACCCGGAGGAGGCGGACGCGGACGCGGCGCCGGGGTGGGGGAGGAGGAAGGAGGAGGCGAGGTGGGGCAGGGAGGGGAGGTACGGGGATAGGTGGACCCCGACGGCAAGCGAGATGAAGAGCGCGCCGGAGAAGAAGAGCACCTTGTTGCGGCTGAGGTGCCAGCCGGCCAGCCCCATGGGGACGAAGAGCACGACGCACGCCGCTACAACGCCCGCCTGCGCCGCGGCCGAAACCATGGGCTGGCCGGGCGACCGAGCGGCCGCCTGCACTTGACCCGTGAGCGAACGCGCTCGAGCGGCGAAGGCGCCACCAGATCTGGGGCGCGGGGCGGGATCGCGGGCAGCACGAGGTTAGGCAGGCAGGCGGCCGGGGTGCGGCGTGGAGCGCAAGCGAGGGAGATTAGAGGGGCGCCGCGGCCGCGTCGCCTGGTGGGTTGGTGGGTGGGGGTGGTGGGGGTGGGGTTGTGGTTAGGGATGGAGATTGGGGAGCGTGGCGGTGGCGCAGCGGGTCGGCGGGATGGGAACAGCGCAACGGCAGAGCGGGTGGGGAGGGGACGGGGATGGCGCGACGCCGCTTTGGGCCGTGGACGTCGGTGCGAATGCGATGCCCGATGCGTGCGCGCGCCGGCGGGGATGATGCGGGGCGGGGTCGGGTCGGTTGGTCCTGCTGTGTGTAGGTGCCTGGAAATTGAGTTCTCTTCCAGATTTGAACTCGAGATTGTCACTTCCATTCATGTAGTGTGTTCAACCAACCTGAGAAAAAAACAGATCGATGGCGAGTCAGCTTCACCAGTCGCCACATGCCCAATCGGATCGATGCTGCTATTGTCGAGCATCACAGGTTACAGGCCTCTGTCAAATTTTGACTCAATCGGATCGACGCCTCGTCCTATTCACTTCGCTTATAAGCCGTACTTTTTCAGCCAACGAATAGTATTTTTCTTTCACAACAAATTAGCCAACGGTACTTTCAGCTATGGCTTATCAGCCAAACGAACGGGACAAATGTTGTCGAGCATCACAGGTTACAGGCCTCTGTCAAGTTTTGACTCACGCATTGCACTTGTAATCTAAGAATTTCGGCCGGCTAAACTATGAACTAAACAAATCACTGAATAGCTGCAGAGGCATGGGAGGACGTTCTAAACATTGCCATGAGGTCCAGTGAATTGTTTGGTACTACTGAAAGCTGAGAGAATCATGAGATGGAGAGCTCTGCACATGAACAATCGACAGAGGATGACACTGAGTAATACTTCTATGACTCGCTTTTGATTAGTTGTTCATTCTTTATTGTGTTTACTGCAGAAAGTTTGTGAATTAATCTAAAAAAATAAGGTAGTGCAAAAAGCTTAATTCAATTCGTAAGATTGGATATTTATTGTGTTCACTGCAATAAAAAAACCTTTGATTAGCTAAAAGGTTTGCATTGTTCATTCTTTAGTAGTGCAAAAAGGTTGGACATTTACTAATATTCTGTAGCTCAGAAGTACCAAGTTTGAACTTTAGATAAACACATTTGTTGCTGATAGTAGAAAAGAAATTAATCAGTAATCACTTAGTTAAAATAGTCATCAGCCGCTGTTGTTGGAATTTGAAACTGAATGTCTGAAAGGGCAGCGTTTCTGTCAAGCTTTGAAGCTCAATTTAAATGGATTTCACCTATAAGACAATATACAAATTTGGTGTCATTCGCAAGTGTAGTGTATGGGCTGACGAAAAACATGATTATTTGTTGCAATGGTACAGTAACTGGACACTAAATACTTGATCAAAGTAGCTCTATCAGTAGCTCTGAACCTGAGAGTTTCAGTTAAACTTCCTGAACTGTATCTGAACTCAGAGTTTCAGTTAAACAGACCGAACTTTGGAGCCCCTCTCTCTTAAACCGTGAGGAATCAAACCTTGTTCCTTAAACCAATTGAGATTTTCAGAACAACTTTTGGAGC